AATCCCATAACCTGCATATCTAATTTCCAGGGTTCCCCTCTTTATCATATAATCTAGCTACACTTTTCTTTATTCTGATTTTTATCTACTTACAGCTCTATTTCTATTGTATTTTATCTATACAACCCCTTTGCATAAGAAGGCAGGATATGAATAAATAAAATGTAAATAGACAATTCTAACATAGCCTGATAGCTGTCATGATGAATGTACAACCAGAGTGATTTCAGAATGCTGGGGACGTGAACTGAACTTAGGCTGGGGATGAGGAAATGATCTCCTAAAGGATTTGACTTACATGAAAAGCTACATGTAAAGTGCCAGATCTTGATGAGAACTGCTGTGTTTCAGTAGCTGCAAGCACTTCTGTGTGGGTGATCGATAGAGTCGAGGTGTGCAAGTGGCAGAACTTGAGTCTGGAGAGGTGGGCAGAGGTCTGACCACAATGTCATCGTTAGAGAATTTAGAGGTTTTCTAAGACCAAGAGGAGCCATGGAAAAATGCTAAGTAGAAGAGGGGCAGCAGCAGATCTGCTTCTTGAAAATTCCTTGGTATGAAAGGCAAAAGGAAGGAAGTCATCTGGAAAAAGAGAGAAATTGATCAGCTCTTGCAAAATCACTTCCAAATTCATGTCATACTTCCACTCCAGGTAATGATGAGCTGCTTAATTGGGACCAGTATCCACCCCACCCCAAGGAAGATACCCTGGGACCCTTGGGCATGCACACCAAGGGAGGGGCACAGAGTGTGTCTGCAGGGAGGTCACTATGATCAGCTCAAAACTAGGACCCTCCAAGTGTCCACCAAGTGAATAACGGGGAAAAGTGCTCCATATGTATGTCGTGGAGCACCGCACAGCACTGAACATGACCAACAACATGGATGAACCTCAAACTCATATTGGTAAATGAAAAAGTAAAATAAAATAAAAATCACAGAATAGAAGGGTACACACAGCTCACCCACAGGCAAGTCACACTCCACAGCTTAGAGATGTAGGTATTGGTGATAAAACTGGGAAGAAAAGCAAAGAGTGTTTCCCCTAACATGAGCTTAGTGGTTACCCCACAAGGAAGTAGGAAGGAGGACGTGGATGTTATCCCAAAGAGACAATTCAGGGGCTTCTGGAATTCTAGAATGTTCTTTTCCTTGACCCATGTAGGGCGCGGTCAGCTAACTGCCACGCAGCAGGAAGCTGAAGTAAGCTGAATCATCCTTCCTGTGGCCACTGCGCTTGCGCTAAGTATACTAATGAGGTTTTAAAGTAGCGACCTATCCGATGCTGGCTCACAAGTCGCACCATCGGCGAAAGCCAATCACAGAGCGACACATGTTCTTAATCCCTATATAAGCAGACTGCTATAGGATTGCGGGGTCTTCCTTCCATCTTTTCTTTAACCAAGCTGTGCTCCAATAAAGTGTGATACGAGAAGAATCTTGCGTGTGGCGACTCGTCATTCTGCTGGTCGGAGGCGGCTCACCGCAGACCCAAATACTGGTTACATGACTTTTTAAAAATATACTGTATATTTGAGTTTTATGCTATTTTCTTGTGTGTTGTATTTCACAGTTATTGTAAATGTTTTCTAAACATGGATGGAGGCATGAACTAAGGTAGTGATTTACGGGGTAGAACTTGAGGGTTGGACAATTGATGGAAGGGGGAAATCAGGAGCAGGTAGCATCCAGGATGATCCTTAGATATCAGGTGAGATGTGACACCACTCGCCAACATGGGTTCCAGAAGGAACAGATCTAGTGGGCTTGGAAGAGAGGAGATAACTTAAATTTTAGACTCATTTAAATGAAGATGCTCAGATCCACCAATAAAGTGGATATTGGGCTAGGGCTCAAAATAAAAATATAGTTTGGAGTTTCCTATTCTAGAATCATTAGCATCAGCAATTAACTTAGGATGTCAAGTAATGCAAATGTGTAAGATTGTGTGTGTGTGCGTGTGTGTGTGTAGATTAAGCAGAAAATAAAATAGGCCTTTGGACAGCTTCTTGAATCTAAACTTCTAGTTTTAGTGAAATGGTGGGGATGGAAGCCTTGTATCAGAGCTAGAAATAAATGATAAAAATGAAAGAAGAAAGTGAAGCAGGTTGGCTTCTTTTGAAGAAGGTTTATAAAGGAAAAAAGGGAGCTCAGTTGTTCTCCATGGAGAGGCTTGTACTCACAGGGGGATTTCTTCCCTCGTGTCTGTTTGTCACTATGCTGGGTCCTCTTTCTATGAAGCAGAGGAGGTACTGACACAGCAATGTCTGCAAAAAGAGATGGAATACAGCACTCAACTGCTGGAACCTGTTTGGAATAGGAAGAGAAATATCCTCCCACAGCGAAGGGAAGGACAGCCAGCCATGAAATGGTGGATGCAAGGCAGGAAATGGAATCCAAAAGTTTTCTGGTTTATTTTAGACTGCTATAAAAACCCAGAACTTAGACGTTCCAGGAGGTAAAGTAAGTGACTTAAATGACCTCTCTCGATTTTACTCCCAATCTCAGGTCTGTGAGCTTCCAGCATTACAATTTATTCAGAATTTATGCTTTGTAAGGGGACCGAGTATCTGGGGAAAGAAACAGTGCAGCATCAACTGACCTCTTAACCAGTGTTTCTGTAATTCAGCTTAAGATTTGCAAAAAGCCACAGTTTGGTCAAAGAGCAAATATTCCTGGTAAAAGGCAGCAAGGTTCATGTTAAAAGATGAAACACTAAAGGAATGCCCAGAATTATACCTTCTTCTCTTCTTTTTTTTTTAAAAGTGGTCATGGTTCCAAGTTTTCCCTTGAAGACTATCGTCTGGTTAGTATTTGGAACATACAGAAAAGGAATAGATAACCTGATGAGACTACAGAAAAAGAAAATAGATGCTTACTACTGTCTTATAACCACTGCTGTGCCAAACCCGTTAGACAATGTGAGTTGTAGTCACACAGCTTATCTACCTTTCAACTCTGACTGGGACAAAAAATAAAATTCTGTTGTATCAACATTGCTACAGGTTCTAGAATTCCTCTCAGAAAATATGAGCAAGCATACCTTGGAACAAATTTCTTATAACCTGCCATTTAATGTTACCAAAAGCACCTTGCAATATTTGATTGGTCTCAGATGAAGTGTGTTGCAAATAGGATACATAAATTTAACTATTAAAATCTCTATTGGATTTGGGGCTAATATTTCATTGATCATCTGCCATGATTTGGAAAAACAAAAATAAAACACTATAGTTCCAAATACAATTTAAAAGCCAAAATGGATCACATTTTCAAAAAGCATATCCGCTGGTAGAATTAAAGGTAATTTTAACTTTCTTCTTTATGCCCTTCTTTATTATTTGATTTTATTTTACAACACTCATGTTTTACATGTATAATGCAAAGAAAGAAAATGAAACAGCTACAATAGACATGCTCTCGATTGCCTTCCAGTCAACCAGTCTTGGAGATAAACTACACTGATGCTCCAAAATGACCACACACTTGTGTTCTAACCATCTGGGATGTTGACATGCATCCAAATTGTTGGGCTCACACACACACATGGATTTAAGCAGCTAAATGGTTTGCTTAGTGTGAAGAATATCAGTACAGAGGTATAATGGATGCCAGGGAGAGCCATAGTCACAGAGAGAACCTCCTGCCAGCTGATGACACCAGATGAGTTGGCAGTAAAGACAAAGTCACACTAAAAGCCCTGATGATCCTAGGATGATATTTCCAGGATATGCCAGCTGCCTTTCAAACATCTGGCTGGGGAATAGAGAACACATATGTCACCGGAGATCATGTATGAACATATACAACTTATATCTGTAAAGGACTATTCTAAGAGCGTTCACAGTCTGGCCACGTTTCCACATCAACACCCCATAAGCCCTCATTTTAGCCCTTACCATGAGTCAGCTGTGTTTTTGCCAAGCCTGTTTATGCCAGTTCTATTTGTTATCTTTATTAATTCAGATAAGCCAATCATAATGATAATATCAGTTGAGAGCTTACTGTGTGCCAAGCATAGCAAAACTCATTTAACTCTCTTAACAATTCAATCATTAAAATACTATTATTTTACTAATAGTAAAATATACTAGTAGAGGGATAATTTAGGAGTTTGGGATTAGCAGATACAAACTGTTATATATAAAGTAAACAACTGTATAACACAGGGAACTATACTCAATGTCTTGTAGTAACCTATAATGAAAAAGAATATATATATATATATATATGTATAACTGAATCACTGTGCTGTACACCAGAATCTAGCACAACATTGTAAATCAACTATACTTCAATTTTTTTTAATGTAAAAGATTAACATCAAAGAGATGACATATCATGTTGATAGTATGTATCCTTGGTGTGATGTGATGAGACTATCTCTTTTCCTCTGTAGTTTTCTATCCCCAAAACCATAATTCAAGTCTAATTATGAAAAAAAGATCAGACAAGTCGAAATTGAGGGATATTCCCCCAAATACCTGATCACTACTCTTCAAAACTGTTAAGTCATAAAAAAACAAGTTGAAAGCCTGAGAAACTGCCACAGCCTATAGGAGCCTAAGAAAATATGCTGACCAAATGTAAGGTGGTAACTTGGATGGGATCCTGGAACAGAAAAAGAACACCTGGTATAAACAAATAAGATTGGAAAAATGTACGGACTTGGGTAAATAATAATATATCAATATTGGTTTGAGTATTGTGACAAATGTACCATAATAATGTGAGATGTTAATAAAAGCAGACACTTGAGTATGGGGCATACTGGAACCCTCTGTACTATCCTCAAAATTGTTCTGTAAATCTAAAACTATTCTAAAATTAAAAGTTTATTTTAAAAATACTATTATTACTTCAATTTTTTTTCAAAAGTAGTACAGATAGATTCAGCCCAAATTCCAGTTTAGAACCCAAGCGGTCTGGTTTTGAGTTTTCTCACTTAAACACCAGCAAGAAAGGAGTCAAAACAGTTGACATGTGATGCATTTTTCTTTCAGTTACTGTGGGTGGAAGTGTGTTCCTAGAGGAAAGATAATAAAGCAAAACTCTGGACTTTCAGGTAAACACTCTCCAGACAGTCCCTGACTTATAATGTTTCCAACTACAATTTTTCAGCTTTACAAGTGATATGCATTCATTAGAAACCTTATTTTGAATTATGAATTTTTATCTTTTCCAGGACTAGCGATATGCAGGAAAATACTCTCCAGTGATGCTGAGCGGTGACAGCCAGCACAGCTCCCAGTCAGCCACGCGATCACAAGCGGAAACAATGAATCCACTCGCAACCACTCTGTACCCAGACTTCCATTGTTTTTCACTTTCAGTACAGTGTTCAATAAATCACATGAGCTATTCAACACTTTGTTATTAAATAGGCTTTGTGGTGGATGATTTTGCCCAATAGTAGGCTAATGTGTTCTGAGCACATTGAAGGTAGATGAGGCTAAGCTTGGTTGCTCGGTAGGTTAGGAGTATTAAATGCATCTTCCACTTATGATATTTTCAACTTACAATGGGTCTATCAGGACGTAACCCCATCATAAGTGGAGGAAGATAATATTTGTATGGAGGAAAATCCCTGTGGATGGACCACTTTGAGCAAGATGTCCGTGGATTACAATTGCCTGCCTGTGTAAACAATTTACATTTATGAAGCATTTTGCCTGGGAGATGTCACATAGGTATCTGACTCAAGACCATCGGATGGAGTTGGGTTGTATCGACGAACCCTGCTATGTGCCCTCTGTTTTACTTCTCAGCAGCTTCCTGCTATTTATCTTAGTCTTCTTCCCGTGCAGTTTAACAGTTTAGGAAACGCTGTACTTCACCATACACTGTGCCTTCCCACACTGCTGCCTCCTCAAACCTCGACTGCCTTCACAGTCCTGACGTCCAATGCTTATGTCTCAAGTCTGTGAGATTTCTAAACTCTCTGCTGGTTTCTCCCATGCCATACCAAGAGTTGGAAGATGCTCCAGGGTAACAAGCAGTGGAAAATTGCCTCACTTAACTGCATTTGTCTTCTGGCCAGGATTTTGGCCCTAGAATATGGTTCACTTGAGGTGCCTTCCTGACTCTCCCATGCATTCAACAGACTTACATTTTATCTGGTTTTTCAGTGGTTCTTAGCAAGAACACTGGTGTACTCCAAACTATCCCATTGTATCCAGGAGTTGAACTTCTATGTTTCAATTTTGAAAAGAAAAGAAATGCTTTATAACTACTGTGATATTTCTATACTCATTATTAAGTTCCATACATGCAAAGATATTTAATTTCAGTTTCAAATTTTTGCTGGTAAAGGGGTGTTATTCGTGTTTTGAAAAACTGATGTTACTTTATTGCCCCCAAAAGTAGATAACTGTAAGAAGTCCAAGATTGGTGGGGCTAAAAGGGACTTGGAAAATTGAATAAAATCTTCTATTTTCAAGATAAGAAATTAGGGCCCCCAAAAGAAATATAGCTGTAGCAAGGACTAGAACGTTTCTTTTACTTCTCTAGTTTTTACTTTGTTTCTCTCTCTTCATATCTTATGACTTAAAACATTTGAAAAAATATTTCATGTGGATAATAGATAGTTTGTGATATAGCTTAGAGAAAAGGGAAGAAATACAAGTGCAAGGTCCCCACACTTCTTGGCTGTTGTCCACATGCTCTTATCAAAGCAGATTTTTTCTGGTCAAGAAGAGCTGCCACTGAGCCCACCAGCCCAGTGACAGCTGCTTAAACAAGAGAGCAGGTTAGGGGAAATTAAAGGTGCTGAAGCAGGCCTGCATTCTGCAGCTGTTGAAAGCGGCAGCAAGAGGAGGGCTCCGTTCCATAAAAAAAAAAAACACATTGTCAAATACACTGAGTAGTCTGGGTCTACCAAGCACACTAGACTCAGGGATACTGACCAAGCTTTCAGGATCAAAGAAACTGAAAAGAAAAGCATTATCTTCATTTTTTTCTCTCTTATCTCCTACATCTAATCCACCTGTAATCCCCATTGATTTAACTCCAAAATATATGTCAAAGTCATCATGTTTCCCTAATCCCACAACTGCCACCCCAGGTCTAGCTTCCTTTATCTCATGCTTGAACTACTGCAGCAGCCACCTTCATGGCCTTCCTACTTCCTGTCCTGTTCCCCTTTAAACTATTCTTCTCTCGCAAGTGGCCACTTTACAATTTTTTTTATGTAACTATGGTCGTGCCACATCCTGGCTTAAAACCTTCAAAGGTTTCCGTTTGCACATAAATTCCAAAATCCCACCTGGGCTCATCCAGTTCTCTCCATTCTCATCTCCTGCCACCTTCCCTCCAGCTCACCGTATACCTGCCCTAGCTGCCTCCTCACTGTGCCATCTCACACCAAACTCTTTTCTGCTACGGGGCACTTTCTAATGATAAGCCTCCTTTTGCCCCAGTTCACTCATTTGCAGGTCTGGCTCTGAATCTCAGCGGTCTCAGCTTAACCATCAATTTCTCATACGTGCCATTCTGACCTTTATAGTTGGCCCCTCCCTTGGTCTCTATCATTGACTTGGCTTGTTTTTTCATAACCTGTTTAACAATTTTATTCATTTCCTTTGTTTTCTGTCTGAGCCATTCAATCCTGTGCTCCATGAAAGCAATCTCATTTCCATTTTATCTCGGCCTGTGTAACCAGCAGCTGATGGGATTGCCTGGCAGACTCTAAGAACTTAGTAAAGGAATGCATATATGGATAAATAAATTCATGAATATACAGAGAATATGTTCTTCATTTCCTGAGTTAAACGGACTGGGTAGAAGTTTTCTTCCAGAAATACTGTTCAAGGTGGAAACAACCCAAGTGTCCATCAATGGATGGGTGGATGAACAAAATGTGGTGTATGCATGCAATGGAATACTATTCAGCCTTAAAAAGAAATGTTACAACATAGATGAACCTTGAGGAAATTATACTAAAGGAAATAAGCCAGTAAGAAAAAGACAAATACTATATGATTCCACTAATATGAGGTCCCTAGAGTAGTCAAATTCCTAGGGACAGAAAGTAGAATGGTGGTTTCTAGGGACTGTGGGGCGGTAATGGTGAGTTAGTATTTAATGGAGACAGAGTTTCAGTTTTACAAGATGAAAAGGTTCTGGAGATGGATGGTGGTGATGGTCGTAAAACAGTGTGAATGTACTTAACACTGAACTCTACATTTAAAATTTTTATGTTATATGTATTTTACTATAATTAAAAATAAAAATTTATAAAGTACTGAATGGGATAGGAAGATACATTCTATATATGATATGTTTGTACAAATAAAGATAAAGACATTGATCTCATTTCCTGGAGAGGAGTAGGGGAAATATTCCACTTTTTTTTATAGCTGTCTGTATTGTCGGACTGATTACAATTTTTTTACATTACTTTTGTAGTAAGGAAAATTTTCAGAAAGAGTTTTAAAAAGAAGCAGCAATTTGACCTAAATCCTTCCTTAAAGCTCTCTGTGAATGAGGAGAGCAGACAAATCTTCAGGGAAATCTGACAGGGCTTACATGAAGCACTGGGTACCTCTTCCTGACACTGTTATAGGATCATATACATAGGGTTCTTGTTGTTTTAAAAAAGTCCTCAATGTGGGGGGCGGGGAAGGAGAGGAGGGATAAATTAGGAGTTTGGGATTAACATATACACACTATTATATATAAAATAGATAACCAACAAGGACCTACTGTATAGCACAGTGAACTATACTCAACATTTTGTAATAACCTATTGTATAATGGAAAAAATCTGAAAAAGAATAGATATAGATATATATGTATAAATGAATGCTGTACACCTGAATGTGACATGATGTTGTAAATCAACTATACTTCAATTTTTTTTTAAGTATTATGTTTGTATCCCCCCACAAACAAAGTCCTCACTGAAGCCACAGATCCCATGAGTAAGTGGGAGAGCCACAGAGGGAGTGAAAATGTAGGAGTTTAAACATGTTCCTTTAACCCCCTCACCAACAGAACTCCTCAAAACTAATTTTTCATAACGGGAGCATCTCACAACTCTGAATGAGATTCCTTGGCCGAAAAATGCCTATTTTGACCATATATTACAAGAGACCCTCTAATAAAGAAGAGGGACAACTCATCCCTGAAGCACCTGCACAAGACCATTGGGTGTCAGTCCCCATTCTGAAAAGTCACCCTGAGCAAGAATTTTGGCTGCAGACTATTTTTGCCCCACTTCCTGATTAGAACCCAACACCAATGAAAGATGCACAGACGCCACTCCACCAAATGAATGAATCTCATTCCTCCAGAGAGCAATGTTACCTCAAATGCAGAGGCTCTAGAACAAACGGACAGTGGGATTTTTCAGCCTGCCAGATGAGTTTATAAGTGTATTTCCTTGACCAGCAGTTGGCAAATGCACATCCCACACTACCGTTTCAAAGGCAGTTTCAGGATGGGTGGATTCTCCTGTTAAACCACTAGATGCAATCCGTGTACAGGCTGTTGCCTGCCTGCACGTAGCTCCAACGCAGAGATGACAGCTGTGGGTCTGCCTGAGGCAGCACTCACCTCGTGATTAGGGAGAAAGATTCCCAAACTGGCAGGCGTCCATCTCGTTTACCAGAGGGTGTCACTTTTGATAGTGTGTGGGGTGGCAGTGGGGCTCTGAATTAACCAGGGACAAGAGGTATAAACTGGGACACTCCAAGGCAGAGTGGCCTATATGGTCATTTTAATGTATGTGGTTGCATCATTTTCTACATGAAAGAGAGAGAGACAGAGAGAGAGAGAGAATGAGAGAGAAAGCTAAAGTAACATAAGCTGAAGTAAGTAGCTTGTGCTACCAAACCACATGTACCAAGTAAGGATGCTAGGGAAAGGGTGTGCTTCTGTATGGATAATTATTAAGATCTTCTAAGAAATCTAGTAGTATAAAACAATTACTGTCTATCATAAGAAATGTGGTAAAAGAGAAAATAAATTAAATCAGAGGATTAGATCCATGCAGTACTCATGAAGTACAGATTTGGTGGAAACAATTTGTTTTGAAAATGACAAAAGAACAATTTGTAAAATTTAGGCAAATAAAAGCAATTTGGAGTCTGAACTTTGAACCAGCAATTGTTTTATATAATTAGGTAAAATTAGAAATTTTAAGTAATTTTTTTTATTCACAGATTTTTAGGTCCTCAGGCATCTGTTCATTCGTAAATCAATATTGAGAATTTGATTTTTTTCAAGAAATGTGTTTGATTTTGTCCATTTTCAAGATAGATTGTATTTTATTTATTTTTTCTACAAAGTTTTTATTTATGAAATTTAAAATATAATAATAATGAGTACAATTTTTTCCAGTTTTATTGAGA